CCGGTGCGGGAGTGCGCGGGGCGATGGCGTATAACTGCAGGCTGAGAGGCTGAGGCGGGAGGGTCGCGAGTTCCCGCGCAGCCTGGGCGGCTTCGTGACTCGGGAAGGGAGAACCTTCTGTAAATAAAAGATGAAAAGGTTGGGGCTTATTGCCGAGGCTCTCGGTTCAATCCCCGGTGCTGAAAGAAAAGGTTAACACTGATTAACCTTCACCGAGGCCACAGGCTGCTGGGGAGGAGTTGGGAAGACTTTGGGGGTAACTGCAAAATTTGCATTTGAGCCATCTGGATCTATTACATAGCCTGAATTAAACAGTTAAAATTAGAACAGTATTAGAACTCAGGCGAGCAGTGGGTCCAACTGCGCCACATCCCACGACTCCTGTTCTATTGATTTACATAAAAAACCTGTTCACACAGAACACAAACCTGCGGTGTGGTTAGCAAAAGTCAAATGTTTCTTAGGAACCCAGTTCCTGTTTCAGAGAGAGAGGGAGACACACACACACACACACACACACACACACACACACACACACACACACACGGTTTTGCTGTGTAGTTCAGACTGGCCTTGAACTCACCACGGAGCCCCGGCTGGCCTCATGGGGACCCTCCTGCCTCAGCCTCCTGAGTGCTGGGATCACATGTATGCAGCAGCACTTCCAGGTGGATTATTTTTAGAAATTTAGAGTTTATGCCAGGAGCCTGGCGCCGTGATTTCGAGGCCAGCCTGGGCCTCACAGGGAGACCCTGTCTCAAAATCCCCCAAACAGAACAAAACACCTGGCCGTGTTCCTGAGTCCCGCGCTCCCCGCGTCCCGACCCCTCTGCAGCCCCCCTTTGCCTCCAGCTGAGCCCCCTCTCTGCCAGCTCCCTCTGCGTCTGCCCCAGGGGTTGGGAGCCCTTCGGGGCCTCTTGGGCTCTGCAGTTCCAAGCAGAGTTCACCATACAAGTGAGGCCCAGCAGGACGAGGTGCTGCAACCTGCAACCCAGCACTCTGGAGGCCGAGGCAGGACTGTACAAAGTGGAGCCCAGACTCTCCCTATCTCTTAACTAAATCCCAAAGGGCGGGGGATGCAGCTCAGTGCAGAGGCCCTGGGTTCAATGTCGGTTACCGATAAATACAGCAAAACCCCCCAGCAGACATGGCTCCTGTTCTTCCCGCCTCCTTTCTCTTCTCTCCCTCCTGGACACCAATGCCCAGCACTTAGCTTTCCTGTGAGATCCTCTTCTCTGTCTAGTTCCTTCCCTGGACCACAGGTCCGCGTGGCAGGGGCTGTGGTTCCCTTTGCTGAACCTTGCGTGTTGCCAGCCTATCCTGGCGCCAGGCACAGAGAAGACCTTGAAGAAATGTTTGATGATGAATGCTTGAGCGCATGGTTAGTTCTAAGGCCAGGTTTTAAGGACCAGCGACCGGTGCTGGATTTAGCGCGGCCATCGCCACCTAGCGGCGACCGATGTTTGCGCGCCGTGGAGCCCTTGCTCGGGACTGCGGGGTTTGTGTCGCTGTGCTTCAGGCAGAGAAGGGCTTCAAATTCCAGTTCTCCTGGGTTCAGAGGCAGGAGGGTCGCAAGTTTGACCCGACCTGGGTAACTTAGGAAATTAGAGAGACCCTGTCTCAAAATTAAAAATAAGGGGGGGCCGGGGACCTAGCACAGTGGTGCCACAGCCTGCCTTGCAAGCGCAAGGACCTGACTTCAATCCCCGGTACAAAAGAAAAAGAAAAGGGCAGGGACTGTAGCTCAGTGCGAGGACTTTGGGTTCAGTCCTCAGTACTAGAGAGGGGGTAGCTCTCACCGATTCCCAGTATCGTTAAAAAATATAGAAAACAGATTTTTAAAGTTGTGGCAAAATAAACGTAAGATTTATCACCGTAATCATAGCCCTTTAAAGCTTTTCTTTTTATTGTTTGTTAAATTTAATTTTAATGACGTGAGGGGGTGAAAAAAGCAGGTCCTTCCCAGCTCGTCATCCTATATTCATATTTATTTCCTTTGAGATAGGGGCTGGCCTCAGCCTCCAGAGTGTTAGGATTTCAGGCGCGTGCTAACCACACCTGGCTCCTTCCTAGCTTTTAAAATTGGGAACTGCCCGTCTCTTTTTTTTAAACTTTATTTTTCACCTTTAATTGAGTTTATTGGTACATTTTAGGGATAGAGTACAGTTACATTGATTGTTGGGATCTTGTACCTCTACATGACAGGTCTTGGTTCTCATTTTTTCCCCTTGTCCCTGCCCTTCCTTCACCCCCTCCACCCCTCCCCATTTACAATCACTTTATTTCCATCTTTTCATTATCTCACATTTTTTCTTTTCCCTTATTACCCTTCCCCTCCCACCTTCCCTACAACTTTAGCTCCTTTCTTCCCATTTCACAAGGTCAGTAATCTTATGTATTATTGCGGTTTACTCAAACCAGAGAAACTATTTGGTATTTACACATGTGTGAATTATTTATTTCACTTCGGAGTATATCCTCAATATGTGTCCATTTTCCTATGAATGAACCTATTTTCTTGTTCTTTATGGCTGAGTAATATCCCATTTTATAGAAAAACCACATCTTCTTTATCCAGTTTCCAACAGATGGGCAAATGGGCTGTTTCCAAGTTTTAGCTATTACAAACTGTGCCACTATAAACATGGGTGTGCATACATTGCTGTGATATGATTCTTTTAGTTCTCTTGGAAAGATACCCAGCAGAGGGATGGCTGGGTCAGATGGAACCTCCAGTCCAAGCGCTCTGAGGTATCTCCATATTGATTTTCACAGTGGTTGCACCAGTCAGCACTCCCACCAACCATGGAGAAGGGTTCCTTTCTCCCCACCACCCCGCCAACCTTTGTTATTGTGCGATTTCTTGATAGCTGCCATTCTTTGTGGGGTGAGGTGGAATCTCACTGTTGTTTTCATCTGCATCTCTCGAATGACCAGTGATGTGGAACATTTTTTCATATATTTACTTGTTGCTTTTACATCTTGTCTGGGAAGTGTCTGTTCATTTCGAATGCCCATTTTTGAATCGGGTCTTTATATTGGGGGGGCTGACTGTTTTGAGTTCTTTATATATTCTAGATAATAGTCCTTTGTCTGAGCAGCAGCTGGTAAAAATTTTTTTCCCACATTGTAGGTTGTCTCTTAGTTCTGCTGATGGTTTCTTTTGCAGTGCAGAAGCTTTTTAATAAGATGAGATCCCAGTTGTTGATTCTTTCTGCTAGGGAACTGCCTGTCTTAACTTGGTGAATTTAGCTCCTAGTGTGCACCTCTGTTTTGGTTTGGGCCTTGATGTCCTCCAAAGCCTGGTGGCTTTTTCAGAAGAGGTTGCGTCTAGAGCGTGGGAGGCTGGAATTGAAGGTGTGTGTAACTAGCCCAGCCCACCGACGGCTTGGCACTGCCCTAACCCTAGCCTGGAGCAGATAAAAAGGGCAGAAGAGGCTGCGAGCTCTCTGAACTGCACTAAATAAACCTCTCCCCTTTAATTCCGGGTCTGGCAGTCTGTCTCTCGCGGCTGGAGGATACTTCCGGCATCCCATTCATCTGGTACTGTAACTGCGTCATTGCTGTTGTCTTCCGAAGAGCTGGGGATCGAACCAGGGACGGCAGAAGTTCCAAGGTCGCGAGCTAAGCGCATCACGTGACCCGCGAAGGCGTCACTCGGGGTGGGCCGCAGCCACAGGCACGCGCAGCTGGCAGCAGAACGCAGGCGCAGCCTTGAAATGCGCGCGCAGGCGCGGCTCCCCGCAGAGTGCCATGCGCGTGCGTGGTAGGAAGCCAGGGCCTCTGCTGGGAGCCGGGAGGGGACATGGTGGAGGGCAGCTGGAGCTCCTCTTTCTCCTCCCCTTTTATCTCATCCGTGGTGTGAGTCCAGTGGTCGACACCGCTCACCAGCCCGGGTCTGCCCTTTTCCCTCCACACCCAGGTCTGCGCTACACCGATCTGCTAGGCCTTTCTCATTCAGCATGACGCCGCAACTATCTCCCCAGTCCCTTCTTACATTTTACTTTGAGACAGGGTCTCACTAAGTTGTCAGGTTGCCCTGGAATCTTCCTGCCTCCCAGAGAGCTGTGATCCGCTTGGTCTCTGAGTCACTGGGAGCTCGTCACCCGCAAAGTGCTCCAGGGTCTCAGGTCCTACTGACCTTGGCCTTAGGGGCAGGAGCTGACCTTCCAGGGGGTACAGCATGAGCTCAGTGTCGCCTCCCGAAAAGCATGGCCCGCAGGTGGCTTCACGCTGAAATCCGACTGTAGCAACCTCACCGTTGCCGGGACAACCGCAAGAGACGCCGGTTGCCCAGGTTACCGAGACCAACGCCCGGGCGCTGAGCGCTGGCAGCACCATGGGGAGAGCTCTGGACGGGCCCTGCACACCATTTCTGATGACTTCCCGTTT